TACAATCATCGATGATGATTCCAATTCATCATTAGATTGTGAACTCAAACTTTATATTTATAAGAAACGATGATTTAATCTTCCGTGTATAAGCTAAACTTTGTACATTAAATCATCTACTATATAAGCAAAGAACACAGATTAATATATGATCTATTTAAAGCTTTATTAAAATTATATAAACAATTATTCCATAATAAATAGTATATCTAAACCAAACTCATGGTTAATAGTATATATCCCGACACTTTTTCCTTTCTCAGTAGGCGTGGTAATTCTTTATTTTGAAACTAACCAAATTTTGGGAAACGAAAAGTTCATTAACGACACATGGAATACATGCATATAAATCTTGCATGCAATCACACATTACAATAAAACTTTGTGGAAGAACTCAAAAGTCGACGTTCATTTGAAAAAACATTAATTTTAACACTCGAAATTAGAGCACTTCTACTGCTATATAAAGGCGATTAGTTACTTAACAAAAGATAGAGCAGCAATCTGGTTAGTAGAGGCAATAGTAAACTATTTTTTAATTCCATTATTACTTGTAGCAAAAATGTTTTGGTTTAGTTTCATTCCAACAATTGTTTTTGCAATTGTTAAGGTTACGGTTACCTTTGTGTTTCATATTCATATTTTCTGTCATTAGAAAAGTGAAAATCAATGGCAGAAGTCTGAATTGGAGTTGGAGCCCTAGCTACAAATGGAAGCAATATAATATATCGAGTATTTGTAGTTCAATGTTATCAAATAGTTGAATGAAATCTCCTTATATTTAAGTATTGCTATTTTTTTTAGAGCATTTCTTTCTTTTAGTTTTCAGACATGCATGAAGTTCTTGTGTTTTTATCTATTTTCAATTTTTTTTCCTTTTCTTTTTCTCCTATATATGTGATTTTTTCCCCCTACTTTGAGTCCCGAACAGCGTGGTAAAAGAATTTGCCTTTTTTCTATTTTGTAAATTGGACTTTTCATTAAGGATTAGTTCTTATTTCGATTGCAATCGCTCGACGTTTTAGGTTCTAATTATTATGCAAAAGGATGTATCTTTAATATATTGACAATGCAAAATTTCTTACACTATTTTGTGTATAGTTTAATTTGAGATAGCGGTTGATAAATTGTTACTAATATTGTTAGGTTGTCATTTGTCAATTAGTGCGTATGATTGTGTAAATATTTTTTATTCCACATTGCAAGATTTAGACTCATATGTCCCCCAAAAAAGAAGTGGAAAAATAGTTTTGAATATTTTTTCACAAAAAACTTGATACTATTACACCAAAATAAAAAAAAAAAGACATTGGGGGAGGGGGTGGGGGGTATGTGAAAAACAGAATGACTATTAAATCGAAGTTTAGATAATATATACAATACAAATACTCACAGCAAGAACGGGCGACAACATATGCTCATCTTTTTTTAGAGAATAAAGAGAACAATTTTAGAATATCTTCCAGCAAGGGACAAAGAGTGTTTGGTCCCTTTAGTTTTCTTTGAATACAAGAGTTGGTAAAATTTAATCAAACGGCATTACGTAACTGCGACTTGCTGAATTCCAATTGCGACTTAGTAAATTAATTGCGACTTAAATTGTATTAATTAATTGCGACTTATAAATTGCAATAACTAATGGGGTCCAGGGTGGAGCCAGAAGCCTAAATGTGGGTTCGGTCGAATCCTCTTATAATTGTCGTTCTAAATTTTAGAGTAAAGTTAATTTTTTGGCTCCGCCTCTGATTCCGACTTATTAATTGCATTAGCTAATTGTGAGTTGTAAGCTCCATTACTATTTCCAAATTATAAATCGTATGATAATGACGACTTAAAGGGCGTTTGGATTGGCTATTAAGCTGGTCAAATTAGCTTTTAAATTATTTTTAGCATTTTTTCAGCGTTTAGCAAAATTAAAAAGTGTTCAAAATTAGTTAAAAATTGCTTAAAACAAGACAACAATAAGTTGGCTTAGCTTAAATCTATTTCTGCGGAAAAACTATTTTTTGTAAGCTAATCCAAACGGGCTCTTATAAATCGCATTTGTGTTTTGCCGCTTATATATCAGTTTATCGATTGCGTTCTTCCTAAGGGCTTGTTTGGTAGGAGGGATAAGAAATAATTAATCCCTAAATTAAATTTAAAAAGAGTTTATCTCATGTTTGGTGATCACGCCCAACTATGCCTTATAAAAAGGACAATGCGGTCGTTGCAAATATAATTCGGTTTACAAGTCCGGAGTCGAATCCCACAGAGAACTAAGGTTTAGCTACAGCTGTTCACTATCACCAAGAAGACAAGCTTGAACAATTCCTAACTTATAGATATTAAGATTCTTGTGTTTAACTAATTAACTAACAAATTAAAATAGTAAATTAACAACTAACGATACTGAGGGTTAGAGAAAAGATTAAGGAGGTCTAGAGTTATGATTTCCCCTATTGTCGGAATCCTTCCCGCTATGTCTTCTATAATTTCGCCTAAGTATTCTCTACCGATCATGAGCACTCTTATTGCCGTAAATCTCTCCCGAGTAATTACGACAATTTACTAGACGCACTCTCCCGAGCTACGCTAGCTGGCTTTTAATAAAGCTCACTTCAGATCGCACCCAAGGCTTCGTTATCCCTAATCCCGCCTTTAAACCCTCGGTTATTGATCCCTCATATACTTTGGGAGTGGTGTTGTTCAACAATTACCTAAATATGCACTCTCTCCCGAGTTATGCATACTAAATAGGCACAGCTAATTGAGAGCTCTTCAACCAACCACAATATAAACGTAGTTGAACAAATAGAGAAAAGCTATGACTCAATTATATAAAAACATAACAAGAATTTATCCTACAAAAGGTTCTATCAAAACTCTAGATAACAAATTAGCTATTCATAATAGTATGTAAAACTACAATACTAAAAGTCATAACCAACAATTAAAAATAGGAAGAGGAAGGAAAAACTCGTAGAAGAATTCTCCGCCTTGCTCCCAATGTGTTCTCGCCTCCAAGGGTGTTGTCTAACCCTAAAGTAGTGTCTCTCCGCCTCCTTAGGTCTAATTTGTATCCAAAATATGTCCTCTCCTTGTTCTTGGCCGGCCTCCTTTGTTTTATATAGGGTTTAGGACTTAAAATCCCATGTTTTACACTTTAGCCCCTGAAATTTACGCTTCCCACCGCGGTTTCACCGCGATCGCGGTGGAACCGCGGCCAAACGCCCTCGCGGATTCTTCATTCTTCAGAAACTGCCTTCCACCGCGGTTCTGCCGCGGTTCTGCCGCGATTGCGGCAAAACCGCGATTTTTCACACTGTTCCGTTTGGAATTTGGAAAAACGTAAAACATGAAAGTTGTAGCCCTTTGAGTTAGCTTTCCAACCATATATTGTGGAGCCCAAATGGAGTTCTGAGCAAAAAGTTATGTCTATTTTACTAGACAGTGCGCAATATGCCTCCTCAAGTCTTCGTTCGTACTTAATTATCAAATTTGACCCCCGTAACACGATCCCGGCTTAATCCTTGAGCTTTNCTCTACACAAAGCTGAAGCTGCAAAAGTTACGAAATTGGAAGAGAAGGTTTTGAAGACGAGGATGATGCTTATGATCTCATGGGCACTTTTTGTTGGATTTGTTGTGGCGTCGATGATGAAGTGAAAGTTGATGAATCTTGTTGATGATGCTAATGAATATGTTTTGTTGTCAATTTTATTGTCGTCTGGAATTGGATGAGAAGGTGTTATGTATGTTGTTTTGAACCTTTTATATTAGACCTTGTAATCTTAGTTAATGTAATTCGAATATATTAGTTGTCAAGAATTAGTTAATGTAATTCCAAGTTATGAGCTTGTAACCGTTTAAATTAGAGCTTATATTAATCAATTTAATCTTAGAAGTTGTTAGTTCTTTTGTGATGAATTTTGTGTATTATTAGTTGATGTTATGGGATGATGAACATATTTATGTCAAAAAGTATGGACAATTTACCAACTCCATTCCCAACCTAAAAGCTGGACAGTTTCATGAAGGCCTTTTTGTGCCAAAATCTGGGCAGTGTTACAATATTTTGGTCTAAAATGTGGACATTTACACTACACCACTTATGTCAAAATGTGGTCACTTTCACAAAGGCCTTTTTTGTGGCAAAATCTGGACAGTTTGACAATATTTTAGTCTAAAATCAGGACATTTTCACTACACCAGTTATGTCAAAATCTGGACACTTTTACAACACCATTTTGGTCCAAATTCTGGACAGTTTCACAAAACAACCTGTTAACAAAATCTGGACAGCATCTATAACTCATAAATATTAACTTAAACAATTCATAAATACTAATTTCATTCATCATAAGGGGATGTCACATTATCACCCCAAAAACCTACATAAACAAGTGATAACATGACATTAAGTTTCCCAACCTAAACATTCAAACTACATTCAACCACAAACAAGGGGATGTCACATTATCCCCCCAAAAACTATCACAATTAGGTGATAACATGACATCCGAGTGAACATGTCACTAACTAAACAGCCACACAAGTTTAACAAGTTTACTTGGCTAATAATTACATCACAACCAAAAATATACTAGCATAATAGAGTCCAGAACACCAGAACTGCTGGTCTTTAAGTCTGCTTCTTCCCATTACCCTTCTTTGCTTTCAACTTGGCCAATCTTTGCTTGTTAAGCTGGTTACCAGTAATAGCATTTTTTCCCTTCCATTGCAGCTTCTTTGGTGAGAATGGTAGGTTTGATGGCTCACTCACACCACTGGCATCACCAACAAATCTGATTTCCCTTGTTCCAATTGCTGCACTTTTAATTGCCTCAGTTGTAGCCTAGTCTTTGCCTCAGAGATACTTCTTGGCCTTATAGCTATTTCAGGCTCAGGGTCAAAGTCTGGGTATTCAAAGTCTGGAAAAGCACTAATGCTTGGTTCTTTCCTCTGCACTGAAGGTGTTGGCATGAACACCATGTTGCTAGATTGACTTGTTTGACTAGGCTAACTTGGCTGAGGGGCTGACAGATGAATTTCCTCATCATTGACTTCTTGTGGCACTGGTGCAGCAGAGGGAGATCTGGGCTGTTCAGATCTGGGTTGTTCATCATTTACTTCATCTAGTAAAGTTCTCTTCCTCTTTGTCTGCTTTCCCTTCTTCTTGCCTCCAATGGGCTGCTTTCCTTTAGAATGCTATTAGTAAGACAGAAAGTTTTGGTTAGTTGTTGAAACAGAAAGAATGATAGAAAAAGTTATGGTTTTGATTACCTTTGCACACCCTCTAGCATTGTGTTCAGGTTCACCACAATTGTTACATGTCATTACCCTCCCTTTCCTTGACTGAGACCATTGTCCTTGCCTATTAAGTTCCTCATTTTTTTTCTCTTGTTCTCTTAACCTTTGGTCTCCCAATCATCTTTACCAAAAGTGGTGGAGCCATGTACTGTGAAGGTTCAATTTTCCAGAACTTTTCTCCTCTTACTGGTTGTAACTTATGTGAATAAATTTGGAGATAAGTCTCTTTGGTAAGGTACCAATGAATCTGACTTAGAGGGTCCACTTTCTTGTGCAATAATGCACATATTGCATGAGGACATGGAATGCCACAAAGATCCCATGCCCTGCAGGTACATTTCTTTAATCTCAAATTCACAATGTGCCTGTCACTACTTTCAGTCACCTCATATCCATGGTCTGCACTGCCATTAACATGACACTTCAATGCAATCCTCATAAATTGGTTGTACAACTCCATGCTTTTAGGACTGTATTCATTTCCCCATGACATCACCTCAGCTTCATGTTCAGTAATCATATTCATCACCTTGATTCTAATATCCTCAAGCATCTTAATGATTGGCTTGTGCCTTGCTTGCAAGATCCATGCATTAAATGACTCGGTCAAGTTGTTGTCTACAGACTGGTTCTTGCAAACAGTATCAAAGAATGCCCTACTCCAACATTTTGGTGGATACTTCAACAAATCCTCCACAACTTCCTTTCCATCATCATCTACTTGACCCATATTCTTTATCTGATCTTTCAAGGCCTCTTCATAAGTACTCCATGCAGCCCACCAAAGCAATTTTTTGAATTCACCAGAACCCCATCTCTTACACCAATTTACTTCTATATGTCTTACACAAAATCTAATGTGTGACTCTGGAAGAACAGTTTGGATTGAGTCAATCAACCCCTACAAAAAACAGTAGATAACATCAGATAACAGTACAAAGAAACCAACAAAATAACTGAAAATAACAGTACAAATAAACAGTACATACCTTCTGCATATATGATATAAATGTGATCCCTTCACCCATTTTGAGGTCTAGTGAAGTCTGTAGGTGACCTAAGAACCACTTCCAAGTAAGTTTTGTTTCTTTGTCAACAATAGCCCAAGCCAATGAAAAAAAATGATTGGCAGAATCTTGACCAACAGCTGACCTTTAGCCTTCCCTTTCAAAAATGTTCCATCCAATCCAATGAAAGGTCTCAAACCACTCTTAAACCCAGACTTCATTGCTTGAAAACAAATATACATCCTTAAAAACCTCCTTTTCCCTTCTTCAAGAGCGTCTTTTGATAAGTTAATTATCACATCACTCCTAGGATTGCTAAGTTTCAATTCATTGGCATAGGCAACAAGCTTATTATATTCATCTGTAAAACTACCTTCAAGTTTCTCCAAAATTATTTTCTTTGCCCTTTTGAACTTAGATTCACATAATAACAAACTTAAAGTCCCACCACAATAAAATAAGGACAAAACATATATGTAAGAGACCCACATGAGCATCATCTTCAAAGTAAATGCAGGTAAAACAGGGGACCAAATAACAACAAGTCAGCTATTAACAAATAGCTCAAATCCTTTTTCAGTTAAAAAACCCTAACCGACCCTTCTTTAAAAAACAAAAGGGACCACACATACTTGAAATCCTAAACAAGAGAAATGTCTTCTAAAATAAGTACTAAATATCATCAATTCCACCAATATACCCTGACCGACCAGTAGAATCAGATAAATAATTAGGGTATAAAGGTGAAAGTCACATGCAAACACAAACAACGACAAAAATCCAGTCAATATCTGAGTCAAGAAACACCCTAAACGACAAATCACATATCTGAGACAAGAAAAACCCTAAACCACAAAGCATAGTCTAAAACCCTAACTTTAACATAAAAGAAATACGAACCCTAAGACAAAAATACTTCATTTATAAACAACAACCATATGAATCTAGTAGAAAAGTTCAGATTTTGGGGGAAAATCGTACCTTGGACAACATTCAACACTGAAAAAATCGGATTTTCTTTTGAACCTTCCACACTCTTCTGTCTCGTTTCTATCGAACGGATGCAGACCAAATGAAACTCTTTGCTAATTTGGACGGGTCTATCTTATTTATTTAGTGGGCAAACGGGTCACGAGTCACGGGTAGGAGACGGGTATGAAATGGGTGTTGTGGGGTTTTAATTTGGTGGGACCGCTGACATGGCAGCTGACTAGGATAAAATTCATGTGGTCAGCTATCACAGTGTCTAGACGTTAGGGTTAGGGGTATTTTTTCAAAGTTCATTAACGGTAGGGATGAGAATGGCCGAAAAGTATAACCGGTGGCACAAGCAACCAATAAACAATAGTAGAGGAGCAATTTTGACCCTTTTCCCTTTAATTAATTACAAATATGAAGTCATTAAAAAGTTTCCATAACTTCCTACATCCAGTATAGTTTCTATATGTAAATTATGTGAATAGAAAATAGTTCCTGGAACAAAGTAAGATCAGTCTATATGAAGACAAGACCTTCACATCAGCTGTAGTTCAAACAACATTTTCCTTCTCCTCCCTGCAGACAAAGCAACAATTTTGATTTGATAAGTAGATCACATGAATGTAAACATGTAGCAAAATTCTATTTTTTGTTTATGGAAACGTAGAAACAAATAGAAAATACTAGGTCCACAGTTGAAGATAAGCCTCCATCTCCTCATCTAAACCAACAGCAGCTTTTGCAATCAAAGCTTCTCCTTCCATAGCAATCTTGCTTTCCACCATCTCCTCTATCTCCGCCATAGCCTTCGATCGATTCAGTGTCTGCTCACCCTCTGCTCCTACATTTTGAGACTCTGAATCATCTTCAAATAGTTTTTCCCAGAACTCGCGATTCTTATCATTTTTAGCAGTTGCTTCTTCTTTCTGTTGTTCATTAGAACTTACTGAGCCACCAGCAGAGTTTGATGTGTCCAATCCCATCCTGGACAAAGTTAGCCACACGATCTGGCGACTCTACTATTTGTGGCCTCTTTCTTGTGTCATTGCTGCTAGAATCTTCTCTGACTTTTGATTTCTTGACAAACAGCTCCAAAATATTGCTAATTTCTGTATCCTTTCTGCATCCTTTCATAGTAGGAAACAAAGCTCTCATGTTTTCTTGTCTATCTTTCAACTTCTGAAGTTCTATTTTCAGACTAATGTTATCATTCCTCAACTTCTCCACCTGCTCTTCCAAATTATCCTTCATTGGATCAACACAAGAACTATGCGAACCTTGTTGTGACTTATTGGTTTTGGATAGTTGAATCCTGCTTTTGATATTCTTCAGCCAGTGCTTTTTTTCCAGCTCGAAACCATGGATTTGCATACTCACTTTTGTAATAACAAACCTTCTTAAAACTCTAAGATTCATTCTTTCTTGTCAAATCAATCCAAATTTTCACTTCAAATAGAAAAAGGAAACAAAGCAACAACTTTCAAGAAACCGAATCCGGATTCATAAAAGCACCACATGCACACTAATTACTACTATAACAACAACAACAACAATAACAACAACAACAACAATAACAACAACAACCCATGGAGTTCCCACAAGTGGCGTCTGGGGAAGGTAATATGTACTCAGCCTTACCCCTACCTTGTAATTACAACGTTAAATTAAGACGATGACATTGAGGCCACATAGATGTTGAGCTAACAAAAAAATGGGGAGGGTATGGAAGAGAAGCCAAAATTTCAAGAAACAATAAAAATGAGAAAAATAACATAGCAAACATATCAGAAGGTACAGAAGTGGAAAATGCAGTAAAAAGTCATAGTTTTTGAGCTAGTAACAAAAAATAGGAACACAACACAAAAAACATACTAATAGAGAAGTTAAATTTGCAGAATACTCACATAGTTGTTGAGCTGGTAAATGAAACTGGATAAATTGCTATGTTTGAAGTACTTTGGAAGAACTTCAATAGCAAACTTGTTATTACTCATAAAACTTATGGGATATATGAAGGTATTTCATCTTTACATGTCCTAGCAGATGTCTTGCCATGTTCTATTTCATTATACATCCAAGAAACAGATCAGATATGGCCAGCAATACGTAATGGTTATTACCAGTTAAACAATACTGCATATTTGGAAATCTTAAGGCCGTATTAATACTTTGGAGATAAGCATCACTATTCACTGCAGGATAGCAGCAACAATAAGCAAGGCAAAACTGAAGTTGAAACTAAAAGCTAAGCAGCAATTGGAAGTACCAGTCCAAGGAACAATCTATTGAACACGTTACACGCCAAGAAACTTATGTGATGAGTTAGCTGCGTAAAATGGCATTCCAAAGCTCACTCATTCACTAGTCTGGAAGGCTACTGAACTTTCTCAGTATTGCAACCATGCTTTACTGTTCCTGCAGCAGTGATCTCAAGTCGTGCCATAACCCTGGATTGAACAATAATGACGAACAGTTCTGGAATGTAAAGGCAAAATATACAAATATAACCTCGGGGAACACTTAATTATATTGATGATAAATCATCTGACTTATCACAATAAAGGAAGATATGAATTCTCTGCTACCCTGTGTGGCATTCAACACATTGTAATTTCATCCATTTAGGGGAAAATTGAAAAACAAGTTAGCAGATCAAGGGCATAAGGAATGAGCTATTCTACAAGACTGTGCTATTCAAAACAGGAGTTTCTCTATTGTACATTGTTTAGAGGACATTTAATTTACAGTTGATGTTTCAGGGTCAGTACCAGCGCAAAACCTACATGGCGAGAGTCCTAGAGAACTCATCAATACATTTTGTGACATGAAACCAGTTTCAGGCCATTTATTGGACTGCTGAGAAGTGGCAGGAACAATATATTCCCGATAGATATTACCATCTTGTCAACTCTAAATTTTCTTGTAACAACCAGAGTGTCACCAACAACAATAATCCCATAACCAAGAAACAACAACAACAACAACCCAATAAAATCTCACTAGTGGGGTCTGGGGAGGGTAGTGTGTATGCAGACCTTACCCCTACCCCGAAAGAGTAGAGAGGCTGTTTCCGGAAGACCCTCGGCTCAAGAAAAAAAAGGACAAAAATGAGACAATACTAGTATCACCACAGAAATCGTAGGAAAAATAGGAACAATATGAAATCTAGAAGAAAGATGGAAAAGCGAAAGCTAATCAAAAGGTCCTGCATTGAAAAGCGAAATAGTAAGACACAACATTGCCACTAACTATCTTAGACAAAAAACTCTACCAGACTAGTCTTACAAAGGTGCGAAGTAAGGCAAGACTCAACTACCTCCTAACCTACAACCCTAATGCTCGACCTCCGCAACTTCCTATCAAGTGTCATGTCCTCGGAAATCTGGAGCCTCGTCATATCCTGCCTGATCACCTCACCCCAATATTTCTTAGGTCGCCCTCTACCTCTTCTCGTGCCCTCCACACCCAGCCGTTCACACCTCCTTACCGGAGCATTTGGGCTTCTTCTCTTAACATGCCCGAACCATCTTAGCCTCGATTCCTGCATCTTGGCATCAATGGGAGCTACGTGCACCTTCTCCCGGATAACATCATTCCTAATCTTATCCAACCTAGTATGCCCATACATCCACCCCAACATCCTCATTTCTGCTACTTTCATCTTCTGGATATGTGAGTTCTTAACAGACCAACACTCAGCCCCATACATCATGGTCGGTCTAACCATTGCTTTGTAGAACTTTCCTTTGAGCATCGGTGGGACTCTCTTATTATACAAGACTCTAGATGCTAACCTCCACTTCATCCATCCTATCCCAATACGGTGTGTGACATCCTCGTCGATCTCCCATCTCCCCTGAATAATCGACCCAAGGTACTTGAAGCTGCCTCTACTTGGGATAACATGTGATTCAAGCCTCGCATCCACGCCAACATCCACCGGCCCAGCGTTGAACTTACACTCCAGGTATTCCGTCTTCGTCCTGCTCAGCTTGAAACCCTTAGACTCAAGAGTCTGTCTCCAAACCTCCAGCCTATCTTTG